GTGAGTAAAACTGCTTAAAAGTTCACCACTATTTGGGCAAGTTGTTCAATGTCTCTCAAATATCTCTCACTTTTAGTTAACTGTTAAAATTATCTCTAGTTTTTTTTCGTGTTTTCTCTTAAGTCTTCAAATTTTTTCTCTGGTATTTTCTCTCTTATTTAAGTGTTTCAATTAATGTCGTAAGTCTTTTTATATTTTATCTTAAGTGTTTTAATTTGTCTTAGTAACAGTTTTGTCTCTCAAGTTCATTGTTTTTTAAATTATCGTAAATTCTTTATTTCTCTAAGTCCAAGATCCAATATCTCAGTCAAATGTTTAACAAGTTCTTCCTTGTTTTTGTTTTCGTACTATTGTTAATTAAAATAACAAGAGTCAGTCAGTAACCAAATGTATTCATAAGTTATCAAAATTTTGTAGATAAGTCCATGTATAAAACTTTAAATCCGCCTGTAATCCACTACTGTTAGGACATCATAAATCCGTTTCTAATATACTACTGTTACGTCAACTTAAAATCCGTTTGTAACCCACTACTGTTCCGTCATCTTAAAATCCTGATACTTCCAGGGAAAAAAATAAAATCCGAAAAGTTTAGGATTTAAAAAAGTAAGAAATTAACCAAGAATAAAAAAAAATGTTCTATACAAATTTACTATCATGTTCTTATAGGTAATTTGACGAGACTTTTATAATTGAAATATTAATTATCACGTAAATTTAAGTTTTTATTACGAGGGTCTAATTTTTATTAATTATTGACCATATTGGATAAAATTGGTAGTTAAGGAAAGCTTACAGAGAGAGAGAGAGAGAGAGAGAGAGAGAGAGAGAGAGAGAGAGAGATTGGATACTTAAATAAAAGATAACGAGAGAAATAGACAGAGATATTACAAACTTAAGAAAAGAAAGATAGAGATACAGAGAGAGAGATAAAGAGATACAGAGAGAGAGATAAAGAGATACAGAGAGAGAGAAAAGTTAACACCTTGCTCAAATTAGTCAAGGCAATTTTTTTACATTATTTTTGGCTTCTGCTTTTAATATTTTTATTATTATTCAATTTTTGTGTCATATTTTCTCACTTAACAAATCCTTAACTCACTCCACTACCTGAGCCATTAATTAATATGCTAATCATCTCACCTGTGATTAGCTAAGTCTTCTCACCTGTATCTAACACGTTCTTACCTTCAATTAACAAATCATAACCCGTATTTGGCAAATTATAGCCTGTACTTAGTTTAACGTATTCTAATCCGTATTTAGGGAACTTTTAATAAATACTTAACAAATTCTCACTTATATTAAAGCAAATTCTAAACCATATTTAACGTATTGTAACCCGGATTTAACGGATTTTAACTCGTAAATAACAAATTCTCACTCAAACGACATGAATTTTAACCAATACTTAAAAAAAATCTCAAACTAAAAATTGTCTCACCAGTAGGTAACAAATTCTCACTATCACTAAACAAATTCTAACTAATAAATTATATAAATTCCAACCTTTACCTCATTAATTATCTAAAGCTTGATTCTTCTGCACTAATTCCCTCACGAGTATTATTCTTATGTTCTCATTCATAAAAGTTCGTAAGTTAATTTTTTTCTCTTAAATAAATACATATGGGTCTGTAACTAACCCTTGAACTTAAGATTTGCTACTGAACTAATTCCTAATATATGGCATCAGATTTTTTACTCAATTAATTTTGTCTCTTAAGTGGTGTTAAGTGAACGTATCTAGTTAAGGTAGAGTCTCTGTGTTAATGTCATCTTCTAAGTGGTGTTAAGTGAACGTATCTAGTTAAGGTAGAGTCTCTGTGTTAATGTCATCTCCTAAGTGGTGTTAAGTGAACGTATCTAGTTAAGGTAGAGTCTCTGTGTTAATGTCATCTCCTAAGTGGTGTTAAGTGAACGTATCTAGTTAAGGAAGAGTCATCGTGTTCATTTTGATGCCTTGTATATTATTATTTTTTATCTAAACTCAATTAGTGAAGTGTGTTCATACATCTTCACTTAAGACAAAAAATAATAATCTTAGGAATTACATTATTTTTATGACTGTTAATTATAAGGTAAGTTAATAATGACCAATAATTATACTATGGTGGGATAATTAATGATAGTGGCAGGGTGGTGTTGGCAGGGTGGTGTTGGCAGGGTGGTGTTGGCAGGGTGGTGTTGGCAGGGTGGTGTTGGCAGGGTGGTGTTGGCAAGGTGGTGTTGGCAGGGTGGTGCTGGCAGGGTGGTGCTGGCAGGTGGTGTTGGCAGGTGGTGGCAGGATGGCGTTGTGGTAGGATGGTGTTGGCAGGATAGGATGTGTGTTGGCAGGATGGCGTTGTGGTAGGATGTGTGTTGGCAGGATGGCGTTGTGGTAGGATGGTGTTGGCAGGATGGCGTTGTGGTAGGATGTGTGTTGGCAGGATGGCGTTGTGGTAGGATGGTGTTGACAGGATGGCGTTGTGGTAGGATGGTGTTGGCAGGGTGGTGTTGGCAGGATGGTGAAAATGCTGCCTTGACTACCCGTGTAAGGTAATAATAATAATAACAATAATAATGACAATAACAATAATAATAATAATAACACTAATACTGTAATATCGACAGCGTTACCCCTATAGAACGATCCCACGTAGTATATATGTGGTATTATTACTCATACAACACTCTATTATGCCGCACCAGTCTGTATTACGTCGTTGTATTGTTTACGCTACCTCACAATAACACAGATGGTGCCTTAAAAGTTAGATATGATGTCTGTATGTACATATGTAAAGGCAAGCTAAATGATTAATTATTGTCGGCAGGTGTGTGTGTGTGTGTCTGGTTCATCCTCGTCTCATGCACAAAACACAAAGGTAAATTAATATTATCAAAGGCTATGCTGTTCTATAGTCAAACTGTTCTATAGTTGATCGTCTCACAGAGAGAGAGAGAGAGATGAGGCAATTACGGAAGGTAGTCGTCAAATACTGATAAAGGGGAAGATAGAGAGAGAGCGAGAGAGATAAGTCATAGTGAGGAAACAGGCAGTTACAAAGGGAAGGAAGGGAGAAAGAGAAAATGATTAAGACACACACAAGCACACACACACACACACACACACACACACACACACACACACACACACACACAAAGCCCCCCCCCACACAAACATCCATCTCAAGGGCTTCGATTCCAACCCTTAAAAAAAAATCCCAGGATGCGACAAAACAACATTACACAGGGATTTAGCTAAGTCCCCCCCTGTCAAGTTACACCTTCAACCCTCGTCCAATCACCGTCCCCTCAGACTTTATGGGGGGGTCAAGATGAAGATATGAAACTTTGGTAATATGAACTTTACTGACGTGATAGAGATGGTTGATAATAGCATACGATGAGGTTATTATACAGTGAGAGGAATTAATACAATCCCGTTTTCTGTTGATTGATATTTATGGCTAATTCATGACTCGAGTGCTGGTCAAATCTGGTGGGATAAATCAAGTTAAATTTGGTTGATTATTATGAAGTAGAAAACTGCCTCGTGTGTTTTTTTTTTGGGTTGTGTGTTTGGTAATGTGTGTGTATGTGTGTACTGATGAGTTGTTAGGTCACTCAGAGAGCCTAATTGACTTACTAACCACTCAGAGAGCCTAATTGACTTACTAACCACTCAGAGAGCACACAAGGAACACTTCTGGCAGTAAATACATCATACACCATAAAACATACACACAAAACACACACACACCATAAACATACACACAAACACACACACACCATAAAACATACACACAAACACACACACACACCATAAACATACACAAACACACATCACAGAGTAAATTCTCGACCATTACTCTGGACGATAATACATAATACTAAATATAAAGAGAGAGAGAGAGAGAGAGAGAGAGAGAGAGAGAGAGAGAGAGAGAGAGAGAGAGAGAGAGAGAGAGAGAGAGTCCGGCTCGTTATGTGTTTACACTATGACGTCACATAAAATGTCTCACGTCATTGGCTAGAAGCGTAAAGAAGTTTGGCCATTATAACTTCAACATGCAAAAGCGAACAACCATTCACAATGTTGCATGATATACTGTATACCAACTACCGGGGAATAATAATGGCAAAGATAGCGTAATAATAATAATAATAATAATAATAATAATAATAATAATAATAATAATAATAATAATAATAATAATAATAATAATAACAACAATAATAATAATAATAATAATAATAATAATAATAATAATAATAATAATAATAATAATAATATTAATAATAATAATAATAATAATAATAATAATAATAATAATAATAATAATAATAATAATAATAATAATAATAATAATAATAATAATAATAATAATAATAATAATAATAATAATAATAATAATAATAATATTAATAATAATAAATAATAATAATGATAATAATAATAATAATAATTATAATAATAATAATAATAATAATAATAATAATAATAATAATAATAATAATAATAATTTTAATAATAATAATAATAATAATTGTAATAATAATAATATTAATAATAATAATAATAATAATAATAATAATAATAATAATAATAGCAATACTACTACTACTACTACTAATAATAATAATAATAATAATAGCAATAATAATAATAATAATAATAATAATAATAATAGTAATAGTAATAATAATAACAATAATAATAATAATAATAATAATAATAATAATAATGATAATAATAATAATAATAATAATATCAATAACAATAATAATAATAATAATAATAATAATAATAATAATAACAATAATAATAATAATAATAATAATAATAATAATAATAATAATAATAACAATAATAATAATAACAATAATAATAACAATAATAATAATAATAATAATAATAATAATAATAATGATAATAATAACAAATGGATCAAAATGCTTCACGTGTTTACATTCACTGCCACAGCAGGTTAATTAATTCCTGGTGTCTCTTTCAGCGGCTCAAGAAGTCGCCCAAGAAGTACCGAGCGCCACAACCCCCATGCAAGTCGACGTGACCCCGTGAAGTCGACCTGACCCCATGGAAGTCGACGTGACCCCATTGGAGTCGACTGTGCTCCGTGCAAGTCGATCTCTTGTCATGAGAGTCGTTTTGACCTACGTGACCAAATACAAGTTGACCTGACCTGTTAACTCGACCCAGGTCCATACAGGTCGAAGTGACACAACACAGCCGACCTGACAGGGACGCGTGTGTCTGCCGCAACGACAATAACGATGATGATTTCCCTAAGAACGACTATCATAAACAGAGACAACACGAGCACTCACCAGCGCCTGACGTCCATTTTCATCCTCGTAACGACAAGTGGCGTTGTTGTGTCGTGTGAGCACAACAAGGAGGCAACACGATCATGGTCTCACTGATGACTCTTGTGGCAGAAGCAACAAGATATATACAGAGTAACACAGGTACACGTCCAGGTTCATGCACTGTTGTGGAAGACCCTCGTTATGACCCGTCTAGTCAACCAGTCTTGGACACTGAGCTTCATAACTTCATAAGTGTAGAAATATAATGACGTGGTTCTTCCCTCTGTGTGACTTGTTATGGCACCAGTTTGTCTCGGCTGAAGGAGAGCATTTTTGCATATCTTACCATAGTGTGAAGCCCCTTGGCAGTAATCTGTGTTATGGGGAGGTAAGGTGGGGGCGTTGTTGTACAGTCCCTTGATGTAAATAAATATCCCGGCGGCTACAGGAGACTCCAGTGTCCGCCTCCCTCAAGATACTCGTCTGTATATAGGGTCGAGAGCGATGTCTATTGTTACTATGGTGATTTAAGACTTACAAGTGTGTAGTTCTGGCGACTGTAACGATCATGTACCTCATTATAACGGTGCCCTTCAAGACCAACCTCTAGGTCCTTCTAATGGCCTCTGGATCTAGGTGGTCTCTTGTAGGTGTCGGTCCACTAAGGCTGAGTCTCTCCTGGTGGTGACCTCCTGAAGCTCTGAGACTTCCTAGGGGAAATTCTACCTTCGTTTGTCACTGACTTCATTTTGGGATACTCACAGGGACCTCGAAACACTCACAGGGACTTCGAGACACTCACAGAGACCTCGAGACACTCACAGGGACCTCGAAACACTCACAGGAACCTCGAGACACTCTCAGGGACCCCGAAGCACTCACAGGGACTTCGGGACACTCACAGAGACCTCGAGACACTCACAGGGACCTCGAGACACTCACAGGGACCTCGAGACACTCACAGGGACCTCGAGACACTCACAAGGACCTATGAACACTCACAAGGACCTATGAACACTCACAAGGACCTATGAACTCTCACAAGGACCTGTGAACACTCACAAGGACCTATGAACACTCACAAGGACCTATGAACACTCACAAGGACCTATGAACACTCACAAGGACCTATGAACACTCACAAGGACATATGAACACTCACAAGGACCTATGAACACTCACAAGGACCTATGAACACTCACAAGGACCTATGAACACTCACAAGGACCTATGAACACTCACAAGGACATATGAACACTCACAAGGACCTATGAACACTCACAAGGACCTATGAACACTCACAAGGACCTATGAACACTCACAAGGACATATGAACACTCAGAGATGGGAAGAACTTTGACCAACATGTTCAGGTAGTAAAGATCACTCTTCTCTGAGATATTAAGACTTGTTCAATGTTCCTCAGATAATGTTCACTAATCTCTAGTTCTATATCACGTGTTGAAGAAGATTTTTTATATTATTTCTTCTTCTTCTTCTTGACTGTTACTGTTGTGTTATTGATGTACAGCAGACAACTGTAAGAGCCCTTCCTGAGGTATGATAATCACTGATTTTACTCTCCTGTTACTTCTAATATGTAATTTATTGCCCTCTACAACCACAATAAGGGTGATTTATCCTTCTCCTAAATCACCTACGAGGCTACGTTATTATTTGTCTGCAATCACTGCCATCGTACTGCCAAAATGACTTTAAATTACCCTATTAAGGTAATTTTGTTTCATATGGTAGTTTACTGAGTTGCCAGATACGACTTTTCGAAACTGTCTGTCGATGTAAGCTTAATTAAGGTTAGTTATCGAACATTGTACGAGTAATTCCTGCCAGCTGTATGATGATTAATTCCTACCACTTGTATAATGGTTGACTTGTGCCAGATGTACAATGGCTACTTCCTGCCAAATGTATGATAACTGATTCCTGCCAGTTATATATAATACTTGATTCCTACCAGTTTCATACTGTCAGTTCTATGATAACTTAATATTGCCAGTTGTACGATAATATTAGTAACTGTAAGAGAATGAGTATTGCCAGATAAATGGTAATGGTTTATTGGTTTCTGCCAGAAGTATGATAACTGCTTGTGCCAAAGATGGAAGTTTGGCGAATATTGTGACTAAACGAATATTTTTGGTGATGTTGAAGGAGGAAAGTTTGGTGGCATCTATTAACGAGATAAACAAACAACGAATATTTAACTAATATTCAGTGTCCAGCAGGGAAGTTTGTTTTGCATTTGTGACGTTATAAGTTAGTTTTATATCATCTGGGAGTTGTTTTCTCAACCAGGCCGTGTTGCTGCTAGCTTACTACACACACAGCAACACGGAGAGGCTGGTGGAGAGGTGTGTCATCTTCACTACACTGCCAGAGTGGTGTGGCCAGCGTGGTGTGGCCAGAGTTGTTTGGCCAGCGTGGTGTGGCCAGAGTGGTGTGGCCAGCGTGGTGTGGCCAGAGTTGTTTGGCCAGCGTGATTTGGCCAGCATGGTGTGGCCAGCGTTGTGTGGCCAGCGTGGTGTGGCCAAAGGTTGTAAGAGTACACTAAATATATAGCCGTTTAAGTTATATTTTTTGGGTAAACTAACTTGTGGTGGTTGGTGGCTCTCCTCATTAGTGACAGCCACGCCTACCTACTTTTGGCTATTGGGCGACCAATCAGCAGAGTGTACAGGTGTAGCTGATCATATGATTGGAGAACCAGACCATAACAGTGTTGGTGTACCGAACAAACCCTAATGTACTGTGTATAGTTAACTTTGAGCATAAGTGTTTAAGTGTGTCTTGAATATTGTGAAATACTTAAATGTTGGATGCTGCTGTTTGTAAGTACGATGATAATTAACGGATATACTTAAGTTAACTTTATAAATTAAGACTTTTCTATTATTATGATTACTATCTTGAGAACACTGGGAATATACGAGTTTTAAATCTCTTCATTGTTTCCTTGGTAATATTCGCATCATTATTACGTATCCTTCGCGTTACAGTAAGTGAAGAATATTTCCCATAAGCTTTTGTAAATATGTATTTATTGTGTGTGTGTGTGTGTGTGTATGTCTGTGTGTGTGTGTGTGTGAAAGGTGAGGGTAACGCGCCAACCAGTTTTTTTTCCTAAGTAAATGAGAAAAAAGTTGTATATAAGATTGATCTTTAATGAGGTATTGGTGAGTCTTTATGGGGGCAACTTGTTGTCTTCTACATTAAGACCTTTGAAAATAATTGAAAATAATCCTCAGAAAAAGACTCCCCTCCCCCCCCCAGAGGAAAAGATCCCTAGAAAAAGAACGGAGAGAAAAAAATCCCTAGAAATACACCCCAGAGGAAAAATATCCCCAGAAAAAGCCCCCAAATGAAACAAAAATCCCCAGAAAATAAAATCACATGAAATTACAATGTTAATAAAACTGAATCTGTACAATGAATAATGAATTTGGTGAATAATGTTAAATACTGTTGTTTATGTCATTATTATTATCATTATTATTATTATCATTATCATTATTCCTACTTGTATTTATAATTTGTACAATACTTATAAATTTGGTTACACATTTCACAGTTTCTTTCCTTAATACATTGACAATTTTTCCATACGTGAAATACTGAAGAAGTTGGGTCATATACATTATAATGGTGACGATAGAAAACAAATGTATTTAATTAATTATATATAAAAAAGTGATGAAAATTGTTGACTATTTTTAGTGCATTTCTAACCCTGCTGATGATGACGTCACATTTCTAAACCTGCTGATGACGACGTCACATTTCTAACCCTGCTGATGACGTCACATTTCTAACCCTGCTGATGATGACGTCACATTTCTAACCCTGCTGATGATGACGTCACATTTCTAACCCTGCTGAGGACGACGTCACATTTCTAATCCTGCTGATGATGACGTCACATTTCTAACCCTGCTGACGACGACTTCTAACCCTGCTGATGATGACGTCACATTTCTAAGCCTGCTGATGATGACGTCACATTTCTAACCCTGCTGATGACGACGTCACATTTCTAACCCTGCTGATGATGACGTCACACCTAACCCTGCTGATGATGACGTCACATTTCTAAACCTGCTGATGATGACGTCACATTTCTAACCCTGCTGATGACGACGTCACATTTCTAACCCTACTGATGATGACGTCTGATGATGACATTTCTAACCCTGCAGATGACGACGTCACATTTCTAACCCTGCTGATGATGACGTCTTTCTAACCCTGCGATTCATTTAACCCTGCTGATGACGACGTCACATTTCTAACCCTGCTGATGATGACGTCACATTTCTAACCCTGCAGATGACGACGTCACATTTCTAACCCTGCAGATGACGACGTCACATTTCTAACCCTGCTGATGATGACGTCACATTTCTAACCCTGCTGATGATGACGTCACGCATTGTTTAGTGATTATAGGAGCATTTTTTGGCTACATCAGGTAAATGTATCAACGTTTGGCTACATTGTATAAATATGTAGATAAACACAGACGTATAGTGTGTGTGTGTGTGTGTGTGTGCGTGTGTGTGTGTGTGTGTGTTTCTACTGAACAATAACAATCATGACTGGTACTGTGGCAAAGTGGTAACCAAACTGACCTAACAACCCAACGGTCCCTGGTTCGCATCTCTACTCAGCAGGCGACATCAAGAAGTGAAGGACGTACTCTCATGTGAGTTACTAATGATGGTACAGCTGTTGGGTCATTAGTTTGTCGTTAAGTAAAAATAAGATACACGTTTTACTGTCTTAGTGGCCAGGCTCCATAACTCTTCGTAAATATTAACCAACTAAATTGTTACTGAGTCTGTTTGTCTGTTGAACTTTGGTTAAAACCTTAGTATAAACCTCTGACATTGATCACTTAAACCCATCATCCTGTTTTATTATTAGTATTATTAATTATAACACAGGTGAGGAGAGAGGCAGGTTGTTATGGTAGGTGGTACACAGTCCTCACCTGGCTGTGCTCAGGTAAACACTCTTTAGTTACCTGTGGTGGTCCACGTTGGGCTGTACTAGGTTCCTGTACTGAGGTGCTGTGTACTGGGGTGCTGTGTGCTGGGGTGCTGTGTGCTGGGGTGCTGTGTGCTGGGGTGCTGTGTGCTGGGGTGCTGTGTGCTGGGTGCTGTGTGCTGGGGTGCTGTGCTGGGGTGCTGTGTACTGTGCTGTGTGCTGTGTGGTGCTGTGTGCTGGGGGTGCTGTGTGCACTGGTGCTGCTGTGTGCTGTGCTGTGTACTGGGGCTGCTGTGTGCTGCTGTGCTGCTGTGGCTGGGGTGCTGTGTGCTGGGGTGCTGTGTGCTGGGGTGCTGTGTGGGGTGCTGTGTGCTGTGCTGTGTGGGGTGCTGTGTGCTGTGCTGTGCTGGGGTGCTGTGCTGCTGGGGTGCTGTGTGCTGGGGTGCTGTGTGCTGGGGTGCTGTGCTGGGGTGCTGTGTGCTGGGGTGCTGCTGTGTGCTGGGGTGCTGTGTGCTGCTGGGTGCTGTGTGCTGGGGTGCTGTGTGCTGGGGTGCTGTGTGCTGGGGTGCTGTGTGCTGGGGCTGTGTGCTGTGCTGCTGGGGTGCTGTGTGCTGGGGTGCTGTGTGCTGGGGTGCTGTGTGCTGGGGTGCTGTGTGCTGGGGTGCTGTGTGCTGGGGTGCTGTGTGCTGGGCTGTGTGCTGTGCTGTGTGCTGGGGTGCTGTGTGCTGTGCTGCTGTGCTGTGCTGTGCTGCTGGTGCTGCGTGTGTGCTGGGGTGCTGTGTGCTGGGGTGCTGTGTACTGGGCTGCTGTGTGCTGGGGTGCTGTGTGCTGTGTGCTGGGGTGCTGTGTGCTGGTGCTGGGGTGCGTGCTGTGCTGTGTGCTGGGGTGCTGTGTGCTGGGGTGCTGTGCTGTGGTGCTGCTGTGCTTGGTGCTGTGTGCTGGGGTGCTGTGTGCTGGGGTGCTGGGGATGCTGTACTGGTGTGTGTGCTGGGGTGCTGTGTGCTGTACTGGTGCTGTGTGCTGGGGTGCTGTACTGGTGCTGTACTGTGCTACTAAGGTGCTGTGTGCTGGGGTGCTGTACTGGTGCTGTGCTGTGTGTACTATGCTGTGCTGCTGGGTGCTGTGTGCTGGGGGTGCTGTGTGTGCTGTGGGTGCTGTGTGCTGGCTGTGCTGTGTGCTGGGGTGCTGTGCTGGGATGCTGTACTGGTGCTGTGTGCTGGGGTGCTGTGCTGGGATGCTGTACTTGCTGTGCTGGGGTGCTGTACCTAGGTGCTGTGTGCTGGGGTGCTGTGCTGGGATGCTGTACTGAGGTGCTGTGTGCTGGGGTGCTGTGCTGGGATGCTGTGCTGAGGTGCTGTGTGCTGGGGTGCTGTACTGAGGTGCTGTACTGAGGTGCTGTGTGCTGGGGTGCTGTGCTGGGATGCTGTACTAAGGTGCTGTGTGCTGGGGTGCTGTGCTGGGATGCTGTACTGAGGTGCTGTGTGCTGGGGTGCTGTACTGAGGTGCTGTACTGAGGTGCTGTAATGAGGTGCTGTGTGCTGTGCTGGGAAGGTGCTGTGTGAAGGTGCTGTGTGCTGGGGTGCTGCTGAGGTGCTGTGTGCTGGGGTGCTGTAATGGGATGTTCTTCGCGGTGTATTTTTGAAACAACAAAAAAAATATGTTTGCGTGTTGATAATTTTTTATAGGATTTTATACTGTAATAAATATATAGATGAAATAATGAATCTGTTTTATTTTGACCTTTTGTGTAGTGTGTGTGTGTGTGTGTGTGTGTGTGTGTGTGTGTGTGTGTGTGTCATTAACAAATCACAAAATAAAATACATGAGTTTTTCTTCAGTAATTTGTTGAAGCGTAAAAACAATTTAATTAAGGCGTGATAGTGGCAGCGATTTAAAGTAATTGTCTTGGTGGGTGTAGGAGGAGGAGGAGGAGGGAGTCTTAGTGTCGTCACGGTGCTTTGTGTCTGTCTACTGAGTCAAACAGGAAAGAGGTGGGCGTAGGAGGAATGGGGAGAAAAGAAAGGAAGAGTAGGAGAAGAGGAGAATGGTGTCAAATATGATCAAAGGTTAAGTCGCTTTGTAAGACTGATCGTTTTAGTAAGATTATGGCTAAAACCTAACGTGTGTATGTATGTATGTATGTGTGTGCTTGCCTGTACTGACGTTTACATACTGGCAGGCACACTCACGCCATGTAACTTCTCTGTAGCTTGTATAAAAGAATATACCATAGAAAATCTAACCTAACCTAACCTTAAATGAAAGGAAATAAACTTGACCATATAAGCAATAAATACAGCACCCAAACCCCACATTAAATTGGCGGTAAATCCACCTAACCTTTATTATCTGAGTTAACATTCATTATCTCATTTACTCTTCAATACTCTTCATCTCTCTACTTTAACCACGTAACTACACCTTTAAATAATAATGTAGTTTTGTGTAACTATCCATTAGTAGTTGAATTAGTCTTTTGAAATTATTCATATCTTTAGTAGGACGTAGTTTTAATAAAAATAAAAAAAAACATTATGTGGCAACTGAGTCAGCAGCAGATTGGTCGACACACTTGTGGTGGATGGGAGACGGGAACAGCTGTACACCGGTATGCTCTCTCTGGCATCTGTAGCAGGTAGGTCGTACTCTTGTTGGTTATCTCCTAGTGTTTCCTCCTGTTAAAATAATACTCCATAATTTTTTTTTTATGTTAATGAGGACTCTCGTGGATGATGGTAATGCTCAATTGTTTTTCGGTGAGACGTAGCGGATGTGGACTAGATAAAAAGTCAACAGTGTTATTACGTGACGTCTGTCGGTGGGATATACCACTTAGTGCTCCGGTCTTCCCCGTGTCAAGAGCTACCGCTTATTAAACTTTCCCAAGATTCTCTACCAAAGTTTACAGACCTATGGAAACTTTTAGAACGTCAAACTAACCGTAACGACAACGATAATGGTCCGTAAGAGGAAGTTTGGATACCGTGTGGCGAGGTGGAAGTTTGTGTCAGTTCTACGTGTGTCCGTCTGATCTAAAACTGTGAGTAATACCTAATATGTAAACGAAATAATATAGCAAACTAAAAAAAATAGATTCTACGTAGTTTGAGTTAGAGGTAAGACATAAATAGTGTCAAAAGGAAGCCATAGTTGATCAAATAAGGGAAGTCAGATGGAGTCACTGTCCTAGAACGTTATAAACACGCCCCCTCCCCCATCACCCTTCTGTCAGTAGAGCTGGATGCACGCGTCTTGGTCACACACATACACAGGGTCGTGAGGTGTGTGTGTGTGTGTGTATGTGTGCATGTGTATGTGTGTGTATGTATACGTCTGTGTGTATATATACGTGTGAGTGTATATAGGTGTTTGTGTGCCTGTGTGTATGTGAGCGTGTGTGTGTGTGTGTGTGTGTGAGGGGAGCCTGACCACCTGTGAGGAGATTTTGTTTCCAGGTATTTGGACTGGCTGGGAAATATTCAGATCTCCTTCCCTTTAATATTATTTCTCTTCGTCACGTGATCAATTATTAATGAACCTGTACATTAATTCCTAGTGGAGAGAGAGAGAGAGAGAGAGAGAGAGAGAGAGAGAGAGAGAAAACATCAACGTCTCCTGAAAAAAAAACACTTAGAATAGAAAATAAGGAATAGAATAGAAAAATAATATAAAATAAAGATAAGAGAAAGAAGAGAAGAAGACTAAGTAGAAGATAGAAGGAGAGGAGAAGAGGGAAGGGGTGAAGGATATCCAGGAAATAGCAGTGTACGTGAATGAGTTGAAAGCATAAGGTGGTCATATTGGCGTTGGTGATGAGGTGAACCAGATGTGTCATTTCTTCACGGAAAAGTTAAATGGCCACAAATATAAGTTGGTTCTCGTGTGTGTGTGTGTGTGTACGTATTTGATCTTGTTTCTGTGTGTATGTATTTGTGAATGTGTGTTTTAATAATAATAATAATAATAATAATAATAAAACAAACAAACAAATTAATAAAGAAATAGATCGTGTGGGCGGTGTATACTTGCTGACGCCATACACTGAGTCACCTGCTTCTTACGTAATGCTGTATATCGTGGGTTAGTGAACATATGTTTTGGTGTATGTATGTATGTATGTATGTGTGTGAGTGTGTGTGTGTGTGTATGTATGTATGTATGTATGTATGTATGTATGTATGTCTGTGAGTATGTATGTATGTATGTATGTATGTGTGTGTGTGTGTGTGTGTATGTATGTATGTATGTATGTATGTATGTATGTATGTGTGTGTGTGTGTGTGTGTATGTGTGCAACAAACATTCAAGTGAAAAACGGACTTTCTAGTGGACAAACGGACATTGTAGTGGACAAACGGACATTCTAGTGGACAAACGGACATTCTAGTGGACAAACGGACATTTTAGTGGACAAACGGACATTTTAGTGGACAAACAGACATTTTAGTGGACAAACTGGCATTATAGTGGACAAACGGACATTATAGTGGACAAACGGACATTCTCGTGGACAAACTGACATTATAGTGGACAAACGGACATTTTAGTGGACAAACGGACATTGTAGTGGACAAACGGACATTTTAGTGGACAAACTGGCATTATAGTGGACAAACGGACATTCTAGTAGACAAACGGACATTGTAGTGGACAAACGGACATTTTAGTGGACAAACGGACATTTTAGTGGACAAACGGACATTTTAGTGGACAAACGGACATTTTAGTGGACAAACGGACTTTCTAGTGAACAAACGGACATTTTAGTGGACAAACGGGCATTCTAGTGGACAAACGGACATTCCAATTGACAAACGGAAAAACAAACAACCTAAAAAAATCGATTTTGGAAGACAGAGAAATTAACGAAAAAAATTCCGAAAATCTCTCGATAATTTCTGAGAATCTCTTAAGACACTACTCACCAGGGTCGCCCGCCATGACCAGACTTCCTGAAAACCTCACGCGAGATGTTCCAACAATTCCAAATATTGACTCAAAAAACACTGGTGATTCACGTCGGAGCGGCCGCTATGTAAGCAGTCAGTCTCTACCTCGGTATGTATACACAGTCAGTCTCTACCTCACTATGTATACACAGTCAGTCTCTACCTCGCTATGTATACACCGTCAGTCTCTACCTCGCTATGTATACACCGTCAGTCTCTACCTCGCTATGTATACACCGTCAGTCTCTACCTCACTATGTATACACCGTCAGTCTCTACCTCACTATGTATACACAGTCAGTCTCTACCTCGCTATGTATACACAGTCAGTCTCTACCTCACTATGTATACACCGTCAGTCTCTACCTCACTATGTATACACCGTCAGTCTCTACCTCGCTATGTATACACCGTCAGTCTCTACCTCGCTATGTATACACCGTCAGTCTCTACCTCGCTATGTATACACCGTCAGTCTCTACCTCGCTATGTATACACCGTCAGTCTCTACCTCGCTATGTATACACCGTCAGTCTCTACCTCGCTATGTATACACCGTCAGTCTCTACCTCGCTATGTATACACCGTCAGTCTCTACCTCGCTATGTATACACCGTCAGTCTCTACCTCGCTATGTATACACCGTCAGTCTCTACCTCGCTATGTATACACCGTCAGTCTCTACCTCGCTAATAATACACCGTCAGTCTCTGCACCCGCTGTATACACCGTCAGTCTCTACCTCGCTATGTATACACCGTCAGTCTCTACCTCGCTATGTATGCAGCGTCGGTCTCTACCTCGCTATGTATACACCGTCAGTCTCTACCTCGCTATGTATACACCGTCAGTCTCTACCTCGCTATGTATACACAAATCAGTCTCTACCTCGCTATGTATACACCGTCAGTCTCTACTACTCACTTGTATATACCGTCCGGTCTCTACCTCGCTAATATGTATACACCGTCAGTCTCTACCTCTCGCTATGTATACACCGTCGAGTCTCTACCTCACTGTGCTTACCGTCAGTCTCTACCTCGCTATGTATACACCGTCAGTCTCTACCTCAACTATGCTTCATACACCGTCAGTCTCTACCTCGCTATGTTATACACCGTCAGTCTCTACCTCGCTATGTATACACCGTCGATCTCTACCTCGCTATGCTTATACACCGTCAGTCTCTACCTCGCTATGTATACTGTCAGTCTCTACCTCGCTATGTATGCACCGTCAGTCTCTACTCGCTATGTATACACCGTCAGTCTCTACCTCATATGTATACACCGTCAGTCTCTACCTCGCTATGTATACTTTCTCATTCTCTGCCTAGCCTATCAGGCAGAAAATACATCCTACACACACACACACCACACACACACACACACACACACACACACACACACCCCACACACACACACCCACACACACACACACACACACACACACACACACACACACACACACACACCACACAGATACACAAAAGATCATGCTTTTTGTTTTGTATTTCTAAGGTTATTCTTAGCTCGGGAATAGAATTCTGAGTTTGATTTTTCATGGCGATTGGAGGCGTGATGGGGCAGGTGAGGGGTGAGGGAGAGGTGAGGTGAGGAGGTGAGGTGAGGAGAGGTGAGGTGAGAGGTGAGGTGAGGAGGTGGTGAGGAGGTGAGGGTGAGGAGAGGTGAGGTGAGGGACAGCCGAGGGTGTGAGGTGTGAGGAGAGGTGAGGTGTGAGGAGGGTTGAGGTGAGGAGGTGGTGAGGAGGTGAGGTGAGGGAGGTGAGGTGAGGAGGTGAGGTGAGGAGGGCAGTGAGGTGAGGAGGTGAGGTGGAAGGAGGGCAGTGAGGTGGGGAGGTGAGGTGGGAGGGTGGGGGGTGAGGAGGTGAGGTGAGGAGGTGTGAGGGGGTGAGGAGGTGAGGTGAGGAGGTGAGGTGAGGGGGTGAGGAGGGTGAGGTGAGGGAGGGGGTGGTGAGGAGGTGGGGTTTGGAGGGGTGAGGGTGAGGGAGGGGGTGAGGGTGAGGGGAGGTGAGGGTGAGGAGGTGGGGGTGAGGAGGGAGGTGAGGTGAGGAGGTGAGGTGAGGGAGGTGAGGTGAGGAGGTGAGGTGAGGAGGTGAGGTGGGGGGGGTGAGGTGGGAGGTGAGGGTGAGGAGGTGTGAGGGTGGGGAGGGTGAGATTGAGGAGGGGGTGAGGGGGTGTGAGGAGGTGTGGGGGTGAGGAGGTGGGGGTGAGGAGGGGTGAGGGGTGAGGAGGGGGGGTGAGGGTGAGGAGGGTGAGGGGTGAGGGAGGGTGAGGGTGGGGAGGGGGTCAGGGGTGAGGAGGGTGGGGGTGACTAGGGGGTGGGGGTGAGGGACGGTGGTGAGGTGAGGAGGTGAGGTGGGGAGGGATGAGGTGAGGGAGGGAGTGGGGGAGGTGAGGAGGGGGTGGGGGTGAGGAGGGTGAGGGGTGAGGACAGTGGTGGGAAGTGAGGAGGGTGAGGTGAGGAAGGGATGAGGTGAGGGAGGAGTGAGGGGGTGAGGAGGTGGTGAGGAGAGTTGAGGTGACTAGGGTGAGGGGTGAGGAGGAGTGAGGGTGAGGAGGATGAGGGTGAGGAGGAGGTGAGGGGGTGGGGACAGGGGGTGAGGGGGTGAGGAGGGGTGAGGGGGTGAGGGGGAGGGGGGTGGGAGGTGAGGGTGGGGACGGTGGTGAGAGTGGGGAGGTGAGGGTGAGGAAGGGATGAGAGAATTGAGGGAGTGTGAGGTGAGGAGGTGAGGTGAGGAGGGTTGAGGGTGACTAGGGGGTGAGGGTGGGAGGAGTGAGGTGAGGGAGGGATGAGGGTGAGGAGGAGGTGGGGGTGGGGACGGGGTGGGGGTGAGGAGGGTGAGGGTGAGGGAGGGTGAGGGTGAGGGAGGGGCGGTGGGGTGGGGAAGGAGAGAGGTATGTTGTGTTAAATGTGTATGTGGGATGTTAAAACCTTTTATAAAGATGTGTGAATTACTAAGAGACACAGAGAGAGAGGTGTATGTATGTACACCTTGTCATAACACACTTACACACACGCCTACTCATCACATATATAATCCTACCTAATATATACACACACACACACACACACACACACACACACACACACACACACACACACACACCACCCCACACACACCTCACCCCACCTACCCCACCCCACACACACACACACCCCACACACATACACCACCCCTCCACCCCCACACACACAGCCCCACACACCCCACCTCACCCCACCCCTGCCCCACCCACACACACACACACCCACACACACACACACACACACCACCCCACCCCACCTCTCCCACCCCCACACCCCACACCCCACACCTCCCACACCCCCACCCCACCCCACACACACACCCCACACACACCACCCCACCCTTCCCTCTCCACCCCCCACACACACACACACCCCAGCCCACACCCCCACCCCACACACACACACACACACACAACACACACACACACACACACACACACACACCACTCCACCCCACCCCACACACCACAACCACAGCACAGATTGACACACAGACAGACGTAGGTAATTGCTGTGTTGACACCTTAGTTGGTAATAGAGAGGCAGGGAGCAAAGAAATTGTTCATATTAATCCCCCGTCGTCACCTCTACGCCACCCCAGACCAATAACACCCCGACGAGAAGTTAATAAACCCGGGTTACGTCGTGGCGATGGAGGAGTTAAACCCGGATTATGAAGAGAAGGGAAATGAAAATAAATGAATTCTTTGTTTATCGTAAATGAAGAGCAATGTGAGAGACAGTAAGCACTTAACCCAGATTCTTAGAAGAGATGAGACAGTGGGAACTTGAGTGGGGTTTAGGATATAGTTATGACGTCATTTTGGTGGGAGTGTTTTTGTTGTTTTGCTGGGGTCTGTTGCCACTGAGAGAGAGGGAGAGAGAGAGAGAGAGGGAGACCCCCACCTCGTTCCAAAGAATTAATTAACTTAAAGGGTGTTATCCACATTTAATTTCTGAAGCTGAGATGAAGACGAACTTGTCATTAATAATAATAATAATAATAATAATAATAATAATAATAATAATAATAATAATAATAATAACAATAATAAAAAGGGAAGAAACATGACTGGCTTATGATGGACAGGTGTGAGAAGTAATTAACTAGATCAGGTAGTTTTTAGTTCTCGGCGTTCAGAACACACACACCCACACACACACACACAGGAAATGTTACCATGGAACTTGTGAGAGAGATAGAGTGAGAAAGAGAAAAAGAGAGAGAGAATAGGAAAGAAAGAAAAAAAGGGGTGATATTGTGTTTTGGGTTGTGACAGACCTTGTAGTGGATTTCTCCCCTACAAACGCTGTTTGTCGCTGAGTAGCCGACCCCACCAATTCCCCAGTGTATGCCTCGTGGTCTGGGTCAACCAGCGCCGCCATACATCACGGAGCGGGGGTCAACTACTAAGCCACGCTTACCCCTCGCTATTTAAGACCTGACCTCGTGGTGACCTGCCTCTTTTCTACCTACACCAACCAGCCAGCAACACCTCCTCCGCCTGCCTGGTGGTCCTCTCTCCCGCCGGCGAGCATGGCGACCCACAGGCTGGTCCTTCTCTGAGCATCCTCACCAACCAGCTCTCTCTACATCACGCTTGTAACCATGATGCCTTCCCAGCACCAAGCTGCATTGTACATCCAATACAACATGTATATAGAGAGCACATTGTGAGTTTCCTTTCTCCATCCCATCCTGAGTGTGAACCAAACATCTTGAACCCCACAACCTCAAAGAAAGTCTACAGCGTTCGTATAAGAGGAAGAATAAAATCCATAATCCGGCCAAAATCTGTTGTCGTTTTTTGTAGGCGTGAACTTTTGGTCTTATATGTTTTATGTTTGTTGGTGGTGGTCATCAATATATTGGTAAGATATTGGTGACCTCTGACACATACTCTGCCTTGATACTACCACAACACTCAGAACAAGAAGGATATACAGGATAATTTTAATACAAAACAAAAACAGAAATGCCGTACGATAACTTCTTTCTCATGCCTTGTGTGCCAGACGTAGAATTATTTGGTCCCATCATCTGAATGTTTACTTTTGCTTATATAAATTAATAATCTGAATAATATTAAAAAAATAAAGAATGGAATTATGTAATTATTAATAAAAAAAATCTCCGCTAACAACCACTCCTTTTATCTCCTCAGCCAGACGTATGAGTCATGCTGGGATAACTGGTCATTACTGGTGACGTGACCTTGACCTAACCCTGACCTGACTCTCAACTAAAGAACATGAATTCAACGCCAGATACTTCGTCCTCTTGGTCTACGCTGCCTCCGCCTGGCGATGTGACCAAAAGCTTGGGCGAGCAGGAACGACTGACTCAAATGTCCCACATGCTGGACGTGACTGTGTGGATGATGATCTTCTGTATTTTCATCTTCTTCTTTATCATCATTGTCGCTGTCCTCTGTATGCAGTGGCTGGAGAGAAGGAGGTAAGTGTCCGGGAAGAGGAGGGGAAGAAGAATGAAGGGGGATGGGAGATTTGAAGGAGGAGGAAGAGGAGAATAATGAAGGGGGGGGGAGAGGATAGAAGGAGAGAGAGGAAGAGAATTGGGTTAAAGTGAGATAGTAGTGACTAGTAACGATGTTAGTAAGCAAATAGACAAACTAAAGCCTAATAAGTCACCTGGTCCCGATGAGATATTTGCCAGAGTATTAAAGGAATGTAAGGAAGAGCTTAGTATGCCCTTAGCAAAGTTGTTTAACATATCATTAAAAACAGGTGTAGTACCAGAATCCTGGAGGATAGCGAATGTAATACCGATTTTCAAGAAGGGGGATAGATCACTATCCTCTAACTACCGCCCAATCAGTCTAACATCAATAGTAGGCAAATTACTGGAAGCAATCATTTCAAACTCTATTCGAAATCACCTGGAGAAGCACCGATTGATCAATGATTCCCAGCATGGCTTCACAAGCGGACGTTCTTGCCTAACTAATCTATTAACATTCTTTTCATCAGTTTTCGAATCGGTGGACGAGGGGCACAATTATGATGTGGTATATCTCGACTTTAGCAAAGCCTTCGACAGAGTCCCCCACGAAAGACTAATTAGAAAGGTAGAAGCTCATGGCATCAAAGGTGACATCCTTAAATGGATTAGGGCGTGGTTACAGGACAGGAAACAGCGAGTGAGCATTAACGGCACTAAGTCCCATTGGAGCAACGTCACAAGTGGAGTTCCCCAAGGCTCAGTACTTGGACCATTATTATTTATTATATACATAAACGACATAGATATCGGCATAGACAGCAACATAAGTAAATTTGCTGATGACACTAAAATAGGACGTGTTATCAAATCTGACGAGGACTCGGCAAAACTACAGGAAGATCTAAACAAATTTTTCGAATGGTCTGAAAAATGGCAGATGAAATTCAACGTCGACAAATGTAAAGTACTCAGTATAGGAGATGTAAACAGGGAAACCAGATACCAGATGAACAACGATGCCATAGAGAAATCCGACTGCGAGAGAGATTTAGGAGTAATGATAAGTAGGAACCTTAAGCCAAGTAAACAATGTGTTTTTGCTCGTAACAAGGCTAATAAAGTACTTGGGTTCATACAAAGGAGTGTTAGTTACAAGACTAGCGAGGTCATCCTAAAACTGTATCTTGCTCTTGTGAGACCACACCTGGATTACGCAGTTCAGTTCTGGTCACCGTATTACAGAATGGATATAGAATCCTTGGAAAGAATTCAGAGGAGAATGACAAGACTAATCCCGGGCATTAGGAACCTTGAGTATAGAGACAGGTTAAAGCATCTTAATTTGCACTCCCTCGAGAGACGTAGAGCGAGGGGCGACCTGATAGAGGTGTATAAGTGGAAGGCAGGGCTAAACAAAGGGGACATTACAAAGGTACTCAAACTATCCAACCAGGAGCGAACTCGTAACAATGGTTTTAAATTAGACAAATTTAGATTTAGGCGTGAAATAGGTAAACACTGGTTTGGAAACAGAGTAGTGGATGAATGGAACAAGTTACCAAATATCATCATTAACTCGAATACGCTGAATTGCTTCAAACATAGGTTGGATGCTTATATGAGCAATAGGGGTTGGGTGTAAACGGGACTGCCCAGTATGGACCAATAGGCCCGCTGCAGTTTCCTCCATTCTTATGTTCTTAAAGAATCGAAAGAAGACAAAGAATAAGAATATGAGTGGAAGAAGGGGAAGGAGGATGGGTGTTAAGTAATTGGAAGAAGAAGAAGAAGGAGAGAGGAAGAGGGGGGGGGGGAGAGGAAAAGAATCGACGGTTATCAGGAATTTCTCTCTATTACTCTTCATCGCTTCTTGATTTTCTCTCCATCGTCTTTATCATGTGTCTCCTCTATCTCTCCCCTTTATACTTCTCTTCCCACTCATCACAATCTCTTCATAATCACATCTCTCTCTCTCTCTCTCATATCCTTCTTTTACCCCTCTCACAAACCTCTCCCTCTCTCTCACTCTCCCTCTCCACTTATCTCCTCTTCCCCCCCTCTCTCTCTCTCTCTCCCCTCCCACACTTAATCCCACTTTTATTGTCTAATCTGCTTCACGTGATGTTCATCTGTCCACAGTGTCAAGTGTTCAACATACACACGATAGGTGGTGATATAATTCGTCTGACCTCAAATTAAGCTTGTATGACGTGTGAGTATGACGAGGGTATGACGTGTGAGTATGACGTGGGTATGATGTGAGTATGACGTGGGTATGATGTGAGTATGACGTGGGTGTGATGTGAATGTGAGGTGAGTATGATATAAGTATGACGAAGGTTTGATGTGAGTATGACGTGAGTATACTTGTCTACTGTGTGTCTTAGTGCAGTGTGTTTGACTGTCTGTCGTTAGTCTCTATCTACATATCTTTTTCTCCCTCCTCCCACATACTTATACAGGGGGTACAAACATGCGTACATACACATATAAATATACATACATACACATACACAATATTGCAAACATAAAACCACAAATTGACAAAAATAAAAAATAAAAACCTGATAATAAAAAAAAGTTACCTATATTTCATACACGTCGAAAAATCATTAAAAAAAACTGTGTTCAAAACTGTTCAAAAATCATTAAAGTGAGGCAGTTATTTTTTTAGGTAATATTATTTAATTACTGTATATTGTATTTATGTTTATTTTAATCTGATTCTATATTAATTTCTATGTCTCGTTTATATGTATATATATATATATGTGTGTGTGTGTGTAAAGGGTGGATAAGGGGAAGTAAAGGGAGATTAAAAGGGGAATAAGGGAGCGTCATCAGCGAAGTGGCGTTCGCTGGCCTACGTCTCACTGTCGTCATTAAAAGGATGAAAATTTGGTTCCGGTTGAGTGGTTCTCCAGCACAACAGGTGGTGAGAGAGAGAGAGGGAGAGAGAGAGAGAGAGAGAGAGAGAGAGAGTGCATGGTGTGTCTATGGCAGGTGTGACAAAGGTAGGGCGTGGAGAGACACAGAGAGAGAGACAGTGCACAGTGTATGTAAGGTGTGTGTGTGTGTGTGAGAGAGAGAGAGAGAGATAATTGGTCATCTACACCATCATTATCATATAAGTAATGACATAAGTTACTCAGACCTTTATTATCAAAGAGGTGTCATACAAACTGTGTCATGTGAAGGCAGGTGTCATAAAAGTGTCAGGCAGTCATGCAAGAGTGTTGATGGTATTGCCTGTCTGTAATGGACTCGTGTGTGTTTCTGCTCTCTTGACCTACAATACAAGAAAGTGTGTTTTAATCTCATCTGTGTGTGTGTGTGTGTGTGTGTGTGACAATAAATATTCATGGCGATTTCATGATAATAATAATAATAATAAGGCAGGTGTCAGCGCCTTGTAACATATAGCATCACACTTTCAGTAAGAAAAAGAAGCAAAAAGAACAGGCCAAGAACTTTACCGCCGAGCTCAGGTCAAGCAGACGACCTCCTGCAGCAGCTGCGGCCGGAGTATCGAGGGGAGGAGGAGGGTCGTCATCACCATACTCTGCCTCGTACTCCAACCCCGCCCTCCACACCTCCGCCTCCTCCCTCTCAAGATACTAGTGCCTAAGGGAGCGATCAACAGCGTCTGGCGATTTTTTTCTTCAAGATCTGAAGTTCTTGCCTTGATGATAAAGCCAGTGTGAGCGATCAACAGGTTCAGGTCCAACAATAGCACCTTCTCCACAGGCTAAACTAGTCGAACGTTTGCCCGCCTAAGACCTGTAACACCTTAGTCAACAAGACAGTGGTGGCGCTTACCCCAGACTGCAATAATGTACATTTAGAGACCTACAACAATGGTGTTTGTTGCAAAGACACAAGATTATTGCAAAACAACAGAGACCCATAACAATAGGACGCGTTGCAGAGGCAGAAGGCGGTTAGCAGCATTATTGGTCTTGCAACATAACTCACGCCTACAACATGATGTGGGTTGCAAAAGAGTGGGCTAATACTGCATTCAATCCTGCAACACGACCCACACCAACATGTTGAGTGGGAGTAATTAGATAAGATAAAGAGTTAAGAATCTCAAGCACCTGTGATGATTACGGCTGTGTCATCACTCTCTACAAGCAAACATTTATAATAACGAAGAAAAAAATAATAAAAAAGGAAAATGATCATAGAACTAAAAAAAAGACATAATGAAGAAGTGAATGACAATGACAATATTGAAGAAAAAAATCAAAAGACAATGGAATAAAAATTAAAGTAAATGAGGTATTTTTCGACTCACTGATAATAAGTAATTAGTTGTGTATGTGGGCGAGAGACGGTAATTACAGCTATTTAATTTTTTCATTATAAATAATATGTCTAATTAAAAATTTTTAATTTTATTTAACAATTATATACATCAGGTATAAAATATTAACCCCTTTTATACACTGAAAATTTGAAGACTAAATTATATAACTTTTTAGTAGGGAATGAAATATGTCTCTGAGTTAATGGAGAAGCTGTAGGGATTATGTTGCTGTAACGATAATTGTTATGTAGTTTTGTATTTAATTTTGTATTTTTGAGTTGATGGGAGTGATCGTGTAGATAATATTACATAATATTAACCAAACCTAACCTAATCTAATCTAACCTAACCTAACCTAACCTAGCCTAATTTATATATATTCTATGTCATTTGCTGTCCATTTATATTTTGTATTTATATTATATGTAGTTTATATGAACACACACACACACACACACACACATACACACACACACACACACACACACACACACACACACACACACACGTATATACATTACTAGCGAAAGAGCCACCTCGCTAGGTTCAAGATTTCTTAAGAGCATTATAGGAGTTCCAATCTTGAGTGAGGTGGTGAGGAGGCATTCCACCGGGCTCCAAAGAATTAAGGAATTCTGCAGGGTACTGGACTGCTTGGTCCTGGTCGATTACTGTATCAACAGATTTGAATGAGGTCTCACTGCCTGGAAGCTGTCTGAGTAGAGTCATGTTGATTTCAGCCACTGTTTCATTCTTTGGTGCCAGAATTGCGCGTTCACGCAGCCACTTGTGATCCTTGTAGTGGTGGATAATGTTTGGGTAGACCATGTTAGTGAGCTCAGTTGAGGACTTTACAACATTTCCACATCCTTTTCAACCTCTGTGTGATTTAACGGGTCGGGTCGGGTTGGGTGTATCGGATCGGGTTGGTTGGAGTTTTTTTTGGATCCCCACATGACACTTGCTATCCATGCCATGTTTGGTCCGGGCGGCTCATTCGCTAGGCCACGGTAGGACGCCACCCTCCGGGAGGCTCCACATTGTCTCACTGTTCAGTCCCCAAAACTTCTTCTTCCATCATTAGTTCATTAACGGTGTATGTAAGTTCCTCTACAACGGTACAGCAAAGTATATTTTTTTAGTATTAAACTGTTATTATTTTATTGTCTAATCATCACTACATATAACACCACCCATCATCACTACATATAACATCATCCATCATCACTACATATAACACCATCCATCATCACTACATATAACATCATCCATCATCACCACATATAACATCACCCATCATCACTACATATAACACCATCCTTCATCACTACATATAACACCATCCATCATCACTACATATAACACCATCCTATCACTACATATAACACCCCCATCATCACTACATATAACATCATCCATCATCACTACATATAACACCATCCATCATCATCACTACATATAACACCACCCATCCTCACTACATATAACACCATCCATCATCACTACATATAAAACCATTCATCATCACTACATATAACACCATCCATCATCAATACATATAAAACCATTCATCATCACTACATATAACATCATCCATCATCACTACATATAACATCATCCATCATCACTACATATAACACCATCCATCATCACTACATATAACATCATCCATCATCACTACATACACTTCATCCATCATCACTACATATAACACCATCCATCATCACTACATATAACACCATCCATCATCACTACATATAACACCATCCATCATCTCACATATAACACCATCATCATCTACATATAACACCATCCATCATCACTACATATAACACCATCCATCATCACACATATAACACCATCCTCATCACTACATATAACACCATCCATCATCACTACATATAACACCATCCATCATCACAACATATAACACCTATCCATCATCACTACATATAACACCATCCATCATCACTACATATAACATCATCCATCATCACTACATATAACAACATCCATCATCACTACATATAACACCATCCATCATCACTACATATAACAACATCCATCATCACTACATATAACACCATCCATCATCACTACATATACCATCCATCATCACTACATATAACACCATCCATCATTATCACTACATATAACACCATCCATCATCACTACATATAACACCATCCATCATCACTACATATAACACCATCCATCATCACTACATATAACACCATCCATCATCACTACAGATCGGTAAAGTAGGTTCCGAGATTCTCGTGCGGACACACACACACACACATACTTCTTTGTTATATATATATAGATTGTTATTGATGTTAAGTTTTTGCACATGTTGATAGAGTAATTAAGGCAGGTGTGTTAAGCTTCAGGTGTGTCAAGTGTGTTTGGTGTGTCGGGTGTGTTGGGTGTGTTCAGTGTGTCGGGTGTAACAGCTGACTGGTATCAATAAAACCAAATTCAAGAAATTATTGTATATTTTACCTTAATGGAAGATTTACTTAACTTTTTCTGGGTCTATTAATTATTATTATTATTATTATTATTATTATTATTATTATTATTATTATTATTATTATTATTATTATTATTATTATGGTAACAGTCAATTACATTTTACTGTGCGTACGTATATGTTTGTATGTATGTATGTGTGTATTATGTATGTATGTGCAGATATGTGTGTGAATCCGTGTATGTAATTCTATTTCTGTACTAAAGTGCACAACATTCCTCCACACTTATACCAGTATCGCCACCACCACACCAACACCACCTACACCATCACTTACTACCACCACCACCACCACCACACCTTGAGCAGCCTCACCACCAAACACTAATTATCAGCAGGTGTGAGACAACAGGGATCCCGTTAACAGGTCAACAGGGGTTACAATGGTGTTCGGTCTCTGTTGTGTTGATGCTAATGACACCTGCAGCTGACGGTATAGAGGGGGGGGTTACTTGTGTTCTCTCAGGTATATATAAATATTAAAGCATAGTTTTCTCTGTCTCTCAGTTTTTGTCTCTGTCTGTCTTGCTCTCTGTATGTCTTACTGTGAGCCCTTCTCTTTCTCTAAAAATATATCATACACCTCTCTCTCTTTCTCTCTCTCACCTAGGCAAGATTACCACCATCTCGTTCTTTTCATCAACTCCTGAGATGAAACCTCTTAACAGCATCAGTTTCCACCTCGACCACTCCTCTCACTGAATAAATAAATAAAATCCTCAATATTAACTGGAAAAAAATTATATTACTTTGAAAAATAAAATAATAAATCCCTCAAGGGTTTTGTTGTAGTTATCTAATTTATAATCCTTTCTATCTACCTAATCCCTCATCCTCTCCCTATGTATCTAATCTATAATCCTCTCTGTGTGAATCTTTTTATGGTGTTAATCAAGGAAGAGGTGCGCCAGGTAACCTCCAGGTAAGCAATATTTGCATACTATCAACATTAATTCTGTATGTTGGTGTATGAAGGAACCCTGGCCTGAGATTATCTTTTGAGAGAGAGAGAGAGAGAGAGAGAGAGAGAGAGAGAGAGAGAGAGAGAGAGATATTACCACAACATGTTAAGGCAAACGGAAGCACTCCTACTATTACTACTACTACTACTACTACTTCTACTACTACTACCACAAATAATAATAATGGTGGTATTGTGTGTGTCTACATACCCCTGTCTATGTACAGTACCTACATGCGTGTTCTGTACATACATAAATATACACACATGTACGTGCGTGACATATATTAGGGGTGGGGCTGTAATACTCTCCACATCGTCATATAATATAGGAATATTGGAGGAGGTGGTGTTATATACACAGGCTGGGCACAGGGTAATATATCATGTGTGTAATGATAACACCCATACATAAAGAACTGACTACTCAACCCCTATAGGACGATGACTTAACCCCTAGAGGACGATGATTTAACCCCTTGAGGACGATGATTTAACCCCTTGAGGACGATGATTTAACCCCTTGAGGACGATGATTTAACCCCTTGAGGACGATGATTTAACCCCTTGAGGACGATGATTTAACCCCTTAAGTATGATGATTTAACCCCTTGAGGACGATGACTTAACCCCTAGAGGACGATGATTTAACCCGCTTGAGGGCGATGATTTAACCATTGAGGACGATGATTTAACCCTTGAGGACGATGACTTAACCCCTTGAGGACGATGACTTAACCCCTTGAGGACGATGACTTAACCCCTTGAGGACGATAACTTAACCCCTTGAGGATGATGACCTAACCCCTTGA